ATCGGATCTAACTTACCATCTTACCACGCGTAAAATACTACTAATTCCTGTTGTCGTACAGTTGCTTACGTGCAGCTGTGATTACAAATTTTGTATTTTTTTTTCCTTTCAAGATAGCACTAAGTTAGTAATAAAAGGGCCCCATGGGCCTTAAGTATACAATTTATTTAGTTATAAGTACGAGTATGCCTCCACTGCTTTTCTTAATTAAACGGAAATCTTCCAAATTAACGAAGGATTTGTTTGGCGGTAACAGGTGCCAACACTCGCGTAAGACGGACCATAGTCGCTTAAGGGAACAGCCGCTAACAAGACGGTCAAGAAAGAATTGTAGCGGTCGAAGTAATGGTTGTAATCGGATCACTACAATCATCAGGCCGAATCCTAGGTTGAAGGTAAAAAAGGCAGAAATCACCAGAAGGAGTGATTTATTGTATACAAAACCCCATGTTGTTACCTTAGGTGTCAGTGGCCACTGACGAAGCCAGGGCTGGTCCTGACGGCGTCCAGCCAGGCCTGGGAGTATTGACTGAGTGTTCTGTAGGGTGATGACAGTTGCTTTTACATGACTGTGAAGCGATTTAAAGTGTTCTGTTATTGGTGTGCTGCAATTGTCCGAGCGGATGTCGCCTGTAGAGGACTTTGCTGCATTGGCCGAGGAGCACTTAGACAGGCGTGCTTATTTGGACGCATGTGAATACGCGAGCGTGTGCGCACGTGTGTACGTGATTTCGTAAGTTGAGGTCAACTGTAGGTTCCACCTGGAAGCTGAAGAACAGGGAGAGCTAGCGTGGCCCTTATCAATTAGCCAGAAACAGCTGCGAGCTTAAGCCTCTTGCGTGGGGGCGCCCGTGAAAGAAAGGAATGGAACAGTTGTTTGTGACGACGGATAACTATGAGATCGAAGGCATAACAGGCATTGTAGCCATCGGCCTCAAAGTTCGTTTAATTCTGTAACCTAGACGAGTTAACAGTGGCTGGCCAGCAACCAAATGTTTGAGCTATTACTGAACACGTATTTTTTATGAAGCCAATTCCAACTGTAAGAATAATCCCACTCGAAGTAACAAACTGAGCACCCTTGGATAATGGAAAATGGCGCGTTTTAGTCGATTAAGTTGAATAATTCCATGAGTGCACAAGTCATGACCGTTATGTGCAGCATCGCATGGTATATGAGAAGTTCCCACTAAGCACGGCTAGGTAAACTTCCCACCGTGTAAGCAAATGGCGAGGCCGATAAAAGAAGGCAGCTTTGTACTTAAACTGCATAAATCAAAGCTATGACGTAAGAAGCACAGGGTACAGCTGAATAGAATAAAAATTAAACACAGAAAGGTCGTTTAACCTGTAAAATACTTATAGAAACTCCAAGAAAACTCGCAAAGCGCGTTAGTACTAGGGGAGAGTCGTGAAATGCGATCAACATTGTTATCTTATTACTGCACTGCATCAGTTAGGTTGTAGTGACCTTGTACTTCTTAGCCATGCCTTCCTCGGACGCCGCGGGGACAGACCATGTCTGACATGACCACCACGCGTGCGCAAGGGAAGATATTAAAATCCCCCGTTCAAGGACACCCTCTGTCTGGCTTACTGGCCAACCATTTCCCATGACCAGTCCACAACAGGACCTTAGTGCGGGGTTGTTTACGATCAGTCGCTTCCAGAACCGGCGATCTGCTGTTCGGTTGTATTTGTCTGGACCCGGTGATCTACTTGTCGGACCGCACCTCTGAACTCCGGCCCATTCATGGCTGGACTGCACTTGTCTGGGAGTCACTTACCTATAACCTACATTCTACGCGTGTTACACCTTATTAAATTATCACTAACACTCGGGCCTTCCATGCCTTATCATATCTACTAGTTAATAACCGTTGAAATGCGTTCTATCATCTATAACCTTTCCAGACTGCTGTCGTATCCCACAAGGTAAACCGGACCGTAAACCCTAAATCTCCAAATACAACTGAACGTGTGAGGCAAAGCAGTTAATTGCATCACAAGTCAGAAAAGAACCTATGCCGGTATGCATAACTGATGGGCCAGTACGTATTGCATTAGATAATCGAGTTGAGTACTTAACTAGTTAGTCGCTCTAGGCTAACAGATGACGAATAAGAATTATTCGCAAATGGAGTAACAAAGAGGGCAGCAAAGGAGGTCTGCCGAAAACACAGTGATTTCTTGAACTCTGGCCGCACTAGGAAAGAGAAGGCGAACACACATGGCTTACCTGCGGAAACGGGAATTTCTATGCATAAGAGGAAGCGATGACTATGGGATACGAAGTACTCCGGCCAGATAATAGAAGATAAATGTATTCCAACGGTCATAAGCTAGAAGATAAGATAAGGCCTGGAAGGTCAAATTGTTATGGATAATTTAATTAAATGTAGAAGGAGTAGAACGTGAGTAGTACATAAGCAA